CCCCAAAACCCCAAAACCCCAAAACCCCAATTTGAGTTATTATTGTTGAAATATTTATTAAATATTAGAAAAATGAGGCTTTATTAAGATTTGAACTTTTTATATACAAGCCTATGTATATTTTTGGTAATATCAGCACATTTCTTTGTGATAAGCTCAGATACAAGCTCTTTCATTGCTTTGGCTACAAGTTGGGTTTACTCTGAAGATGAGATCTTTATTTTCATGGTTAACCTTTTTTGTAATATTATTTTTGAAGGAGTTAGAAACCACCCCGATTGGAGCAAGCTCCGGAGAATATGAAGGAAGTGCACCTTCCACTCTAGCTCTTTGAGCTTCTTCTTGGACATTTTAGATATATAAACTTGGAAATTACCAAGCAGCAACATAAGCCCATATTCTTTTTCTAGGTAAGTCTCTCTCACCCAGATCTGCAGCTATGATAGATAATTAATGAACTTCTTGTTATAATTCCCCAAACTTTTCGCCAAAATTTGTCCGTTTAAAAGACCTGGACTGGAGGCAAGAGAGAGCGGAAATTAAGTAGAAAATGTATTAATTTCGTAGGGGTAGAAGGGGAAGAATGGCCTTTAGGGATTTTTGTGAGAGGCTGGTTAAGGTGAGAGAAAGGTGGTTTAAGGAATTCTGGGAGGGAGGGAAGAGAGCTGATAACTTTTGGTATAGAGAAGTTGGAAGTTTTTGAGTGGAGGCTGCTTAAAATTGAAGGAGAGGTTATATTCTGGTATCAATTCATAAATTTTATCATCACATCGCTTGAAATATTTAGTATTAGAATTTAAATATAAATTTATTGCATCAGATATTGTAATCTTCAAAAATTCTGATCATAAGAAAGCTTAATTCAGCATTTCAAGTAAAAATGATCCATTTTATACAAAACAAAATGAATATTTAGAAATAAATAATCTTAAACCTCAAAATTTTATCTAGGTTGTCCAAACACATAAACTAAATTGGAATAGGAAGCTCAAGATGGAGAATTAGAGCATATGCATGTAATAGATCAACTCAAAGAAATAGCAAGTTCAACTACTCTTACACGTATTAACCAGAAATATTACCAGGTCAGTACAATTGGTGACCGTCAGAAAATTCTTAAAAGTTTCCGAACTGACTAGACCGATAATTTATTTACTGTAAGAACCTCTTTTCAAGAATTTCTAATCTTTCTAAACTATAAATTATCTAGAGAAGGTTACTTTAGAGGTAAGATAAATTGAAATCCTTGTTGTATGACCTCAGAACTTTCTAAAAGGATCAATCAAAGGATCTAATCAGACTTCTAAATGAAACTCCGATTATTTTCATTCTGATCATCCTGACAAAACTGTACAAATAAGGGATTTTAAATTATATTAGTAGTCAACTGTATCTTTGTCTCTAGGGGTTTTGGGGTTTTGGGGTTTTGGGG